GGTGATGATGGTGATGGTGGTGATGATGGTGTGGTAGTCATGGTAATAATTTTGAAGACTGTGGTAGTGATGGCAGTGATAGTTGTGGAGGTTCTGGTAGTAATGTTGACAGTGATGGTCACAGTCATGTGGCCATGGTGGTGCTAGTGTTGGTGGTCATGGTGATGGTTGTCACAGTGCTCCTGGTGTTGGAGTAGGTGGTTGTGATGGCAGCAACAGTAATGATAGTAGTCATCACGGAGATTCCTAGCAAAGGATATCCTGATCACACCTGTGCTATCTACGGTATGGTCAGGCCAAGGTGACACATTATAAAATAACCTTTTACCTCAAATCACTAACACACTGGAGCACCAGCTCCATGAAGGCAGCTTCTGTTGCTCACTGATGAGTCTCCGGTGCCCAGAACAGTATGTGGCATATAGTAGGTGTTCAATAGATACATGTTGAACAAATAAAAGGGGATTGAGTGCCTCCTTGTGATGGACACTATGTTACTTCATTTAATCCTCATCATGCCCCTTCAAGATAGGATCTTTTAAATTCCCATTTTATACATTAGGAAGCTGAGGCTGAGAGAGATGAAGTAACCTAAGACCACACAGAAATAAGCGGGGACTTGGAGAGGGAGCAGGCATTCATACTTAGGCCTGTCTGATTCCTAGGGCCGTGCTTTTGCCTCTGCAGACTTCAAGCCAACACTCAGCATTACACTGTGGTCTTCTGCTGGGCTTAATCATAGGAATGCTGCTAATAATAGTAACAATTTCTGTTTGTAATTATTCGAGGAAGGCTTAAATGATCAAGACCATGGAAATTATTAACAACCCAGGCCCAGCCATGGTACTGCGGGTCCTATTAAGTTGTGTTGAGATGGATAACCTTGCCAATAATAGTAACTGGGATCATAGATTAATAACAGGAGTATTTAAATTAATGCCACACTGTCGATACCCTTGGTAGTAAGCTGCTTGATGTTGCTGTTAATACTAATGGTGCCCCTTCCTGTCTTCCATGAATTCCACTGAAGGGAAAGGGGGGTCCATAAAAGCAGTGGGAGGAGGAGGCATCTTAGAGGTTGCCCCTGTCTAGGGGAAATGAACCCTCTGGGACTGCTGAAGAGGTGCTCCCATGCCCAGCCATGGAGTTGGTGGCTCATCACCAATGTTAATGCTCAAGGCCACAGTGATGTTCCACTTGTCCCTTCTGGGGCTGTCCCCCAGACTTTGTTGGTTATGTAGGAAAGAAATTCAGGATGCAGATTTTTTTTTCTTTCATGAATGAATGACTTAGTTTCAGCTGATCTATGTCACCGTGAATCAGAATCAACTCAACAGCAATGTGTTTGGCTTTGGTTTTTTTGGACCTAGGAAATCGCTTATCAACTACTTGTGAAGTGTTCTTGATCTCCCCCTCATTCCTGTAATTCAGGAGACTGCTGTCATTTTTCCAAAAAGGAAACTGAGGTCCGGGTATGGCCAAAAAGAGAGTGCTGGGGATGGGCTTTGTAGATTAGCCCCCAATAGCCCTGTGCTCCAGGGACTTCATGTCTGGGGACCAGGAAAGAGTGGGAGAGACAGGGGTTGAACATCAGGGACTGGTGCCTTTAGCACACTCCCTGGATTGGAAGGACCTTTGGTTTGGACCTACCAAGTTTTCTAGGACATGGGAAGTGTGGTCCTGGGGACAGGATGTGTCCCAGCACCTACAGAGTACATGGATGGGTGAATGGAGGGAGTGTGAGTATCTGTGAATCCATCCAATCACTTATCCATTTATTTCATTCTGCAGAACTTTACTGAACAGCTACTGTCCACTGGGCAGCCAAACAAGAGGCGGTAGTCCCTGCCTGCCAGGAGCTTATGATCTAATGAAAACACAGTCTAGTGAAGTCTATATTGTTGAAGATGTATCTGTGTGTGAATGTATGTGTTCACGAATGTGTGTTCCCACGTGTGAGAGACTGTATACATGTGAGGGCTTGTGTGGATGTAACCATACACAGGACGTCGTACATGTGAATGTGTTTGACTGTTGTGTCCACATGTGACGTGAGGGAGAGTGTGCGGAATGTGGAGATGCACATGTACGTTCAGGGTTCTCCATCCACCTAATGCGTGGAGCGTCTAGGTCCACACAGATGTTTGGGTTATGTGAGTGCATAGGCACAGAGCTTCAGAATGTATTTCTGTGTATTCTTGTGTTTTGTGTGCACACCTGTGACTCCTTCAAACCCTTCATTGGAAAATTCAAATGATGTCAGGGTGGACTCCGTCCTGAATTACCCCACTGCACTCCCTGACCCCCAGGCCACCAGCTATCCCTCTTTTCCCCCTAGACCTTTGCACCAAGAACCCCACACTCGGAAGGAAGAGAGAAGGGGAATGGGCCTGGAGATGAAGGGTGGGGTGGCAGTGGTCACTTTTGCTGATAACAGCTGGGTAGGGATCAAGGTACCAGGGAGAAGCCGAAGCCATAAACGGAGGAAGATGGGTAAGAGAGTGAACCCTGCGAAGGGCCACATCCGGAGAGGAACGGGAATCGCAGTGGGGACGCCCCGGCCTCTGGGCCCACAGCACCCGGGCCGGATGCGCAGCAGTACGGGCCAGGCACCGGGTACCTAGGCGGGCTGGTTAAGAGCCTCTGAGGGCTAGGGCGCGGAGACGCGGCAGCGGGGACCGCAGCACGCCCTCCCTTCCCCTCGGCTCCCCTCCCCAAGGCGGCGGGGCGGGCGGCCGCGGTTCCGGGGGTGGGAGGGCTGGGCGGGGAGGAGGCGGGGCCGCCGCACTGGCTTCACCCAGCCCCTCCCGCCGCAGCCAGAGCGAGCCGAGCAGCGGCCAGCTCTGGCGGGCGGCGGGAGCTGGAGCGCAGCGCAGCGCAGCCCTATTAGTCCGTGGAGTGGACTGAGCTGGAAGCTGAGAGCGGCCGCGGGAAACCGGCGATGGGGGCAGGTGCCACCGGCCGTGCCTTGGACGGGCCGCGCCTGCTGCTGCTGCTGCTGCTGCTGCTGCTGCTGCTCCTAGGGGTGAGTGCTAGCCGGAACCCTGAGGGGAGCCGGGCGCCGCCACCCTGGAGACAGAACAGAGCATTGGGATCCTAGACGCTGGGGTGTAGGGGGCGGGAGAGGGGCTCTGACGCCAGGATCCACGGAGGAGCGTCGGGGATTCTCGGAGCGCACACCCTAGGTTTTAGGGTAAACGTATGGGCAAGAGGGGAGCACGGATGCGGGTCCTCAGGTACCGCGGAGAGATGCGAGGAAAGCTGGGAGGGGTCTCTAGGCAGGTCTTGGGGCTTTCGGATCCCTGGGTTATTCAGAAGAGGGCGCTTGAATGCCGGAATCTTGAGGGGACTCCGGGGTCGTGGGACGGAACCAAGGCGAGAGGAGAGGGAATGGCACGGGGATTGGAGATGTGAGGGGCGAGGGACTGGGTCGGGGAGCCGCAGGCGAGGGGATGGAACAATGGCGGGAGGAGGTTGGAGGGACTGGAGGCAGAGGGGACCGGTCATCGGACAATGGGGACCGGCCAGACAATGAGGGGGAGGGGCGTCGAAGGGAGAGGTTCGGGAGCCGGAGGGCAGTCGAGGAGAGAGTATAGGTGGGTTAGGGACGGCAGAAAAGGGACGACGGCGAGGGGGGATAGAGAAGTGGAAGCAAAACGAAAGCGGATCGAGAAGGGGGTGCGGATCCTAAAGCTGTCGGGGGCCCCGCCTGCCCGCTGAGGGACAGTGGAACGAGGAGAGAGAGAAGAGGCACAGACACCGAGGACCCCTGGGGGCGGTTCCCGCGCCTCTCCCGCCCTCTTCCCCTTGGCCTCGCCCAGTCGGGGAGTTGCGGCTAGGGAGCGGGACTGAGAGCGGAGCGCCCACTTTGAGGGGCGAACCCGCTCCCCGGCTTCCCCACGGCCGGCGGGCTCCTCAGACGCGCGTGTGCTAGCGGTTTGAAGGAGCGCCGCGGTCCGGTATGGATGGAGCGGGCATCACTCGCTCAGGTCTGGCGGCGGCCTCGTCTCGGGATGAGATGCAGAAGGCTGGGGGGCACCGGGCTGGCGCCGTCCGGTTAGCGCACAGCCTCGGGTCGCGGCGGCGGGAGGTGGCCCGCAGGGGGCACTACGGCGCGGGGCATGTGCCCTCCGCAGCTGCGTCCGCGCGGAGGGCTGCGCGCCGCTCCTCCCCGCCCCACTCCCCACGCCGCCCCCACTAACTTACGCGACCCGAGCGGCGCGCCGGCCGCTCCTTTGGCTGCGAAGCCTCAGAGGGTCGGGATCCTGCCCGCGTTCCTTCCGGCGTTCTGTGTAACGCGTGGGATTCTGTCAGACCGTGACCGAAGGAACCGACACGGCAAAGGACGGCAGGTTCTCGTAGCGTCTAAGTCCTCCTGGTAGCTCTGACACAATTTTCAGGAGATGTGACCTAGTGGGTGGCCATGAACTGAGTGTTCGGGAAGGTTTGGCAATGGAGCAGGCGTCCTCACCGTTCTGACAATCTTCATCTCTCATCTGAGCATTGCGTCCCCAAATCCCCATTTTACAGATTAGGAAACTGTTTAAACGACGGAACCAAGATCCCACAAGCAAGCTGGTGTAGAGTCATAGCTAGACTCCCTCGCACTGCACCTGATTCCCATCTCGGTCCTTCCCCAGCCCCGATGGGCGCCCGGGTTCGTGATAGGAGCAGCGTGTTTGGGCTGGGTCGGGGATGCCACGATCCCCAGAGTCAGGCCGGCGATGGAATATGTGGGGGGGGGGTGCAGAGCCCCTATCTGGGCGCGGCCCCCATCCCTGAAACTCAGCCCCAGACCCCTGGAGCTGTCAGTACCTGTGGTTTACGTCCCCGGGCTTTGAGAGTGACTGCGGGCTTGTTTGCTGACTAACGCCGCCCGGCGGAGCGGCTTCTCAGCCCGGATTGGGGAAGGGAACTGGGCGGCCAGCAGTGCGGATCCGGCAGGGGCGGGAGGAGAGACTGTCCCCTGGTAGAGAAGAGGCGAGGAGAGACAGGAGATGGGCATGGGGGGCCTGGGGGCTCGGGGAGGTGGCCCCCGCGCAGAACCTGCCACCTGCAGCCCCGCGGCCCTCGCCTCCGCCCCGACGCCGGCGGCAGTGCCTGGGTCGGCTCTGCGCACCGCCGCGGTCCGACTTTCTTCCTGGGCCGCGGCGAGAGAGTGCTGAAACCAGAGCGCGTCCCGGCGGGCTGGCTGGCGGGCCGCGCCGGTAATGGAGGCACTTTGTCATTCAGACGTCTGTAACCGGAGCCTCTGGGCTGGCTAATGCGCCTAATAGGGATGTAGCTTGAGCAGCAAATGGGCGGGCAGGAGCGGCCGGGCTAGGGGGAGGTGGCTCCCGGAGGGAAGGCCCCCTACCCGGCTAGACCACCCCAGCCCATCCCAGTCCCGCGCCTAGCTTCTTCCCTGGGGGGCAGGAGAGCGGAGACGGAAATAATAAAATGTGTTGTGTGCCTACTGTGTGCCACGCACCGTCCTGGGTACTTTCTTTTGCGTTATGTAATCCTTATAAAGTCCCAGAAGAGTAAATCTAGTTATTCCCATTTTACAGTTGAGGAGGCTGGACCTCCCAGGCTTTTAGGCACGAGACTAGCTCTCCCAGTCAGTAAGTGGTGGCACCCTTGTTGGAACCCAGGATGCTTGGCTCGGAATCCTGTCTTTCCTCTGTGTGCGAATCTCTCCCTGCCCTCAGTACCTTCTAGATCACTGAGGAACTCATGACCCCGAATCCCTACTAGCACAGGAGATCAGATCTGTGTCCCAAGCTCTCGGCACCACATATTTGGAATCTGAGTCCCTTTGCCCTCACACAGAGCCCCTGGCCCAGCTCTGAAGTCTCCAAGCAGCATCATACTAGTAATTGGCTCGTGTCTCCCACCCCAAAACTCAACCTCTAAAGGGGGGAGCACGTGCCAGTGCCTTCCCTAGGTTTGCATGGAGCTCAAAAGACCCTCCAGATATTTGAAAATCCCTCCAACCCCATTGAGGTGTCGTCTATGGCGTCATTCACCTAAGGAAGCTTTGCTGAAGCTATCTGTTGTGAATGACTGGGATCCACCACACTGAAGCATTCATACAGTTCTTCTCAAATACTTTCAACTACTTTGATATGTTTTTCTATTTTGTTTAATTACAAGAAATTTAACATTCTTAGTAGTCAATGCATCTAATGTTCCCACTTAATTCCTTAAAAAGCCTTGGAAGTCTAAAAATGGCACACACAAAAAAAATGATTGCAAACAATCTCGAAAATGGAATGAAATCATTCTGTCAAATTTGAAATGAGTAACTGTAATAAAGACAAATGTTAGACAAATGTATCTATCATTTTGGTAAACTGATCATTTTGGATCTAATTTTGGAACAATTGACCTGAACCCTAGTCACCTACCCTGCTTCCCAAGACAGCCTGGCCTTGGACTGGGAGAAGCTGTGGCAAGGGCCGTCCATCCGGCCCATTGGATGTATGACCTCACTGGGCCTCAGTTTCCCCATCTGTCAGAGAGGGGATGAAAGAAGTCCCTCAAGTGTTTCCCCCTCAGCATCTCAGCCTGTCCCTCTCCCTCATGGTACTGTAAACTCCCTCCCCTTTAGTGATCAGGGACCATGTCTCATCGGAAACTCTCACGGCTCACTAAATAGTTGCTAGATTAGTGAACTTTTTAACAAGAGAAATTTCCCATCCTCCTTTGGTCCCATACCCACTTTAGACTCTTCCTGGTGGGTAACACTATCTTGATAGCTAACCTGCTCCCTGCACTTAGATGGTTTCCTGTCTTTGGAGATGGCTGAACCCTCCCCTTTCACTGCCTCCCACCCCGGGTCAGCTGCTCATTTTTCCTAAGACAAGACACTTATTTGATAACTAACATTTATAAAACCCTTACCATATACCAGACACATTTGCACAAGTTATTTCATTTAATTCTCACAGCAACCCTGTGAGGTATTATCGACCCAATGTTTTTAGTTGGGAAAACTGAGGTTTGGAGAAAGACATTTATTTATCTAGAGTAACATACTATTAAGTAGCAGACCTGGGAGTTTCTGAAATAGGGAAAATGAAAAAAGCACAGAAACACATGGTTACTAATAAGGTGCCCCAACTGCAAGTGCAAGACTTGGCAGAAGAGAGAGGACCGCGGGCTTCTGGGAAGAGGGGCTTGCACAAGGCTGCCACCCCACCCAGGAGTACTATAGATAGACTCCCTCTCTACTGACCTCAACTAACTGGGACACAGCCAAGAGCCACAAAGGAAGTAAGAAAGACCTTGGAGAAGAGAAAAGAGGGGTCCCAAGGTGTGTAAGCACCTTACTCAACTACACAGTTAATGCTTACAGCAACCCCATGAGGCAGGTACTGTCATTATTACCTACTGATGGGGAAACAAAGGCACAAAGAAGTCCAAAATCTGTCCCAGGTCACTCAGCTCATAAGTCATGAGCCAGGATTCAGAGCAACGGAGGCAGCTGAGGAGGGAGGCGCAAGAGCTCACACATTTTACTCAGAGAATTGCCGCCTCCTGGTTCAGATCCTTACACTCACTTTACACACTTTTCTACCAAGGCTAGTTGCCTGTTTCTCAAGATTCCTTTAGACTAAATCAATTAGAACGGTAGGGGAGGGCTGCTTCAGGTCACACTCTGGTAGCAGCAAGAATGGACAACGGAAACCCCGACAGGAAGGGAGGAGACAGAAACACTATAAAAAAGCTGACAGGGGACCTCAAACAGACCGAAGTGTGATCGTTTGGGATGAAGAATGTAAGCGCTTCACTGCATTGTAGCCCAGAATAAATAGTGAATCCCGAGTCACGGAGAAAACATGAAGGTATATTCTAGAGGCAGAGGAGGGTGCAGTAACCATGGTCACAATGAAAAACATTAGGGGATTAGAGGAGAAAACCCTTGACTCTCTGGAAACTCAACTGTCCAGAACGAGTCATTTCCCCCAGAGTTCTAGTTAGCTGAGGTCGTATAGTATTGTCGTGTTCTTAAATTCCAAAAATATATACGTTGGCTCCCTACTACGTGCCAGGTTCTGTGCCCGGTGCTAGGGTAACCACAGCCTCTGCTCTCAGGGAGCTGACAGTCTAGAAGGGTAGTCAATAAAGTATCAGCCTAGACAAGAAAGCATGTAACAGTTTCCAGTTAACAGTTGCTGCTGAGTTGATTTTGACTACCCTGCTAGACTGTCAGCTCCCTGAGGGCAGAGGCTGTGGTTACCCTAGCGCCTGGCACAGTACCTGGCACATAGTAGTGACCCAACATATACATTTATGGAATTTAAGAACACTACAATACGATATGACCTCAGCTAACTAGAACTCTGGGGAAATGACTCTTTCTGGATAGTTGAGTTTCCAGAGAGTCAAGGGTTTGCTCCTCATGGTGACCCCCTGTGTGTCAGAGTAGAACTATGGGTTTTCAATGGCTACTTTTTTAGAAATAGTTCACCAGGCCTTTCTTCCAAGGCATCTCTGGGTGGACTCTAATCTCCAGTCTTTTGGTTAGCAGCCAAGGGCGTGTGTTAACCATTTGTACCACCCAGGGTAACAGGGCAGCTCTGCCTAATTTGGGAGGGGTAGGGGCAACAGGACCACTTTCCCGAGGACGTGACATTTAAGCAGAGCCCTAAAGGACAAAAAGAAATCAGAACAGACCCCTCTGGAATCTTGCCTCCTGGGGGAAAGCCTGCATCTGGAACCCAGGAGGCTTCTGGTCTGCAGATGTTTCCAGCACTGTGTGCTGCTGCCACCTGGAAGGAGATGGTGCCAACATCCAACTTTCCTTCTTCTGGGCTACCTAGACCTTCCCCGCTGGTCTCATGAGGACCACAAAGCTGCCTCCAAGGCTGATCCAACCTGTCCATCCCCTGCCTCTTCTTTTCCCTCCCCACCAAACCCTGGTGAGACCTCAAGATATTTTAAAGGACTAGAGGGATGGGAGTATCTTGGCCATGATCTGGCCAATGTGGAAGCCTAAGAATGCCCAAAATGTCCTTGTAAAGCCCCGCTCTGGCTCCATGCCCCAAGAGCCCATACTCTGCATCAAACGGGGGCTGCGTGGTCTGGTATGAGTCTAGGAAAGCGGCTTTGGAGTTTTATTAGACAGTACGTTTTTTTTTTTTGAAAGAACAGAACTATAAAGCAAGCCTCCAGCAGCCCCTCCCCCCAGGGAATCTGGTGCTAAATTGTTCCGTCCCTGAGCAAAGATGCTTTAGCGGCAGGAATCTGACTCCCCTTTTCCCTGGTTCCAGCACTGTTCCCAGTGGCTGTGTAGGGGGCTGGGTAAGAGGGGAGGGCCAGTGGCTGGAAATCAAACCCTGGTGGAGCAGGGCTGCTGAGTGGTGAGAGCAGCCACTTCCTCATCATTGATAACAGGCATCTCTTTCTCCCTATCTTGGTGTCAGACTCTTGCTCATTGGCTGATCCTTTGCCCTGGCACAGAGCTGTCACCATGTCTATCTGTGTGGAGAGATGGAGACTCAGAGCAGAGGCGGGGCAGGCAGTAAGCCCCAGTGCAGGATCAAGATTTGAACCCAAGCCTCCACCCTCTGCCTTCTGCTCTTGGATACACCTCCCATTTGATATTTAACCTAGTGGAGTTAGAGACCTCGAGCAGGGCCCTGGTAGCCTTTGTGTGAGTTAGAAAAAGGCACCCCCTCTGGGCAGATGCGGCCCTGCAGTTGCGCAGCTTATCCAGTGGAGAATGGGTTGGATTTCAGCCCCTAGTCACCCCCTTGGCTGGGAGCCCTGGGCAAGCTGTAACCTGACCAACTGTTCATGATGTCCCTGCTCAAAGGCCTCTGCTGGGTCTCAGCCCCCCTCCCCCATGTGCTGTATCCTTGAGATTCCAGGAGTTGCTGTACCCCAAGATGAACTTTGCTGAATGAAGGTCAGCATCCAGAGCTCTGACCTCACACCCGCAGCAGCCTGCAGGGGCACACTGTCCCTCCACTATCTTTCTTCGCCACCAGCTTTGATGTATCTAATGCCTCCCTGGTGAGCTCATCCCAGCCCAGGTGGTTCCAATAGAAGGTATTAGAAGGAGGTGTCTGATCACTTGGAAGACATCCCCCTCCTTTCTCTAGACGGTCTGACCCTCTGATCTCCCCCAACTCCAGGTGTCCCTCGGCAGTGCCAAGGAAGCATGCCCCACAGGCCTGTACACCCACAGCGGCGAGTGCTGCAAAGCCTGCAACCTGGGTGAGGGCGTGGCCCAGCCCTGCGGAGCCAACCAGACTGTGTGTGAGCCCTGCCTGGACAGTGAGTACAGGGAGGCGAAGTGGGGGCAGGGGTAGGAGGGAAATAGGGGTTAGGGAGAATCATGCCCAGGGTCCCCTGACCACTACTGCATGGGCACCAGAAGGGGGTCAGTCCCAGTGCAGGAGGCAGAGGGGAGGAGCTGGGAATGGATGAAGGAAGTAAGCAAATGGAGGAGGGGGATCATGGGGGATGCCCCTTCCCAGCCCCAGGCAGAGAGGCCTGGTAGAAGAGTGTGGCCAGGCGGGAAGGAGTAGCTGATGCTAAGACCTGCTAAAAATATCATCTGCATTGCAAAATCAATGGCTGCCACTTACCCTCTGTGTGTTTGGGGGAGGAGGATCAAATCCTGGCTGCCCTGGAGACTGACCTTGGGGGATCCTAGAGAGGGTGTGGCTGCCCCTCCCCGCTGGCCAACTGTTCTCCAGCTTTGACCAAGGAAGCAAAGCTTTGGCGGAAGCAGCAGGGATGGGGCTTGGAGCACTCTCAGGGTGCTGAGGTGCTATCAGGTGGAGAGGGGAGAGGGGAGCCATGGCCATTCCTGCCCAGTTTTCCCTCAAAAGGGGAGAGAAGCCCATCTTCCAGGTGGATGAGGGAGGCAGGAGGATGGCAGCTCTGGCCTCCTGCCCCAGTCTTGTATGGGGTCTGAATTCTGTGCGTTTTGAGTCAGGAGCCTCTGTCCCTGTGGGATGCCCCCAGTCCTCAGTTGCTACCTTCAGACTGTGGGCTCAGCACCCTCTTCCTGAAGCTTCCCAGAAACCTTTCCTCACTGCTGACAGTCAGGTCCTGCCTTCCACCTGGCACTCAATGCCCACCTCGGTTTTCCTGCTGTGCCTGTAATCTTGTAACCCCATCCATCTCCTCCTTCAGCAGAGGCGGGCCTGGGCAGGGAGGTTCTGCCACCTTGCCATCCAGCCACCAGCCCTGGCCCTGGCTTGGTCAACTGTCAGTACCCTGGAGCCTCTGCAGTCAGCCTCTCTCATTTCATAGACTGCAGCCCACCTCCCTGGAACTTTAATCTGTCTGAAGGGTCTGAGGTGGCGGGTGGAGCAGCCCCAGAGTGGGGAGTGCCAGCATCTCTGGGGAAGGGGGGCGGAGACAGGAGCAGCATCAGGAGCAGCAGCTCAAAGGCCCAAGCAGGACTCCTTCCTCCCTCCGCCCCCCACCTCGCCCCAGCTGCGTTAACAGACCACCTTTACGAGCTCACTTTATGGGATAGAGACCCCAGCGGACTTCCCTCCATCCTCAAAACGTTTCCACAAGGAAACCCATTAAGCTCCTGCCTTTATTCTCTGCCAAAAAAGACCACATTTTTCACACCCCCTAAAACCCCCTCCCAGGAGTTTGCTGCTAATTTTCTGGATTTTCCCATGGGCAGGGCTCCACCTTTCCCTCCAAGTGTGACCAGACCCATCCCCCTGCCCACACCATGGCAGCCAGATAGGACACTCTCTTTGAATAGATTGGACACCCTGCCTCAGCTTTTTGTGTCTGCAAGTCCTCTCTGCTGGCTGCTGAAATGCCCTCCGCCCTCCCTGCTCTGCCTGGCGCCTGATGCCGCTCTGCTCGTCTCCCAACCCTGGGCCGTCACCACCGGAACCATGCGCCAGCGCAGACAGCCTCATGCACAAACCTGGCCTCAGCCCAGCTTAACAGCAGCTCCACCCTGAGCTCCCGGAACTGGAGATCACGGGATGTGAGAAAGAAACAGGGGTGTGTCGCAGTGCCTGTAGGACTGGAGGCTCCCTGAGGGAAGGGGATGCATCTCCCCCATCTGACCGGGCATTGGTTGAAGACAGAAGCTGTACTGCCTCCATCAGAATGGGGAGCCCGAAAGCCGGGGCTGTCTCCTCCCTCAGCTGGGCACTAAGTGCTGGGGCTGCCCATGGTGCCCAACCTTTATAGAATCCCTGCTATGTACCAAGTGCTTTACACGCCACGTTTCATTTCTTCCTCACCACAACCCTGTGTGTGGAGATATTATTCCCTACTTTACAGATAAAGAAAATGAAGTTCAGAGAGGTTAAGTAAACAGAGTCACACAGCTAAGTGATGAAACCAGGTCTGAATCCAGATCTGCCTGCTCATTAGGAAGAGAAACACAGGGGTCCCTCTGCAGAACTGACTGGGGAACCTGAAGTCTCCCTCCAGGTCCTTCTCCCTCTGTCTTTTCTTCTGTTCCCCCTAATTTCTGCCCCTTTCATGTCTCTCAAGCTTTTCCTTCTTTGTTCCCCCAAGTTAACACAAGATACAGATCTGTGCTCCATCTGGTCTCTCGATGCCTTTAGAGAATGTTGAGATTGGACTCCACAGCAGGCCTTGATTTGTCTCCAATGGGACCCTAGTCTCTACTTCTGTTTCCACATTCTGAGCAACTCCTCCTCTGGTTCTCAAGTTCCTAAATCCACGCTCTTCCTTCCCTTGGAGCAAGGATGTGTCCTCTCTAGCTCAGACTGGTGCGAAAGGAGTTCTCCACCCTGGGCTGGAAGGGGTGAAGATCTGGCTCTGCGTCTCCCCGCTCCCTGCACAGGAGGCCAGGACCATGACACCCCCCTCCCTCCTCTTTTCGGGAGCTCACATGTCTTAAGACAGCATGAGTCAAAAGTTAGCTTGGAAATCTCCTTTATGCCAGTTGAAAGGGCAGAGGGCTGTATATGCAAGTACTTCTTGCTTTCTAGCTTCAGTCTCTCCTGCTGCACTTGAACTTTCCTGCCTGGAGTTCAATCTCCACCCTCAAAAGCCAAGCCCTTCAGCAGCTTGGGGTAGCTCCATGGGTGGGAAGTTCTGCCATCGAACCCATTCAGGCCACACCTGAACCGTCACCTCTGCAGGAGGAACGGAAGGGCAGCTGAGGTGGGAAGGCTCCCTGATGGAAGGCTGGGTTCACAGCCCAGCTCTGGCCTGCAGGGAGGGCTGGGTGGGAACCACGCTCAGATTATTCCCTAATCATGCTGGGAGCAAGAGTACAGGGGTGGGAACTCTCTAAGGGAATTTGCTGGAAAATTTACCGGCACCATCTGGGCTACCCAGCAGGAGCCTGGGGCTGGCCTCCCAGACTCCTTCCGTCCCCCGCCCCACCCCAAACCCCAGGCGGCTGTCACGGGAGTCAAGGGCCCTAGGGCAGAGGGTGGGAGTCAGTGAAGGGGGAGGAGGAGAAGGGGGGGGCTCCAACCCCTGCGAGGGCTCACTAGCGTCCCGGTAGAGGTGCCCAATGGGCAGGTGGCTAAACTGTGGGCCCTGCTGCTTCCTCACCTGTCCCTCTGCCCTCAGGCGTGACGTTCTCTGACGTGGTGAGCGCCACGGAGCCGTGCAAGCCGTGCACCGAGTGCGTGGGCCTGCAGAGCATGTCGGCGCCATGCGTGGAGGCAGACGACGCTGTGTGCCGCTGCGCCTACGGCTATTACCAGGACGAGACGACAGGTCGCTGCGAGGCGTGCCAAGTGTGCGAGGCGGGCTCGGGCCTCGTGTACTCGTGCCAGGACAAGCAGAACACCGTGTGCGAAGAGTGCCCCGATGGCACGTACTCTGACGAGGCCAACCACGTGGACCCGTGCCTGCCCTGCACCGTGTGCGAGGACACCGAGCGCCAGCTGCGGGAGTGCACGCGCTGGGCGGACGCCGCGTGCGAGGGTGAGCGCGGCTGGGGCGGACCCCAAGCGCAGCGGGGGCTGGAGCTGTGCAGAGGGGCGCCGCCTGGGCGTGGAGAAGTGTCCTGCCTGGGCCAGGAAGCAGCCTTCCTGAGCCTCAGCCTGTTCCTGGGTCACCTCAGGAAGGCGGTAGTTCCTGATGCTTTAGTCACCAAAGGCCCCCTTTCATTATTTCCTTCTTTGGGCTAAGTCTTTCCAAGACCATTATCATCCTCCCAGGCTGCAGTTACTACATTGTAGCTGGTCTTCCAGGACTTTATTCATCTCTGGCTGCCAGCTAGCCATTGGATGGGCAGGTGATATGCAGCTCCAAGGTGGCCACCACGGCCTGGGGTATTTCTGGTCAGAGGAGGACATGTTGGATCCTTGAAGCAGGCTTTCTGAACTGGGAAAGGTGCTTGAGGACCCTCGGGAAATGGACCTTTCAGCTCTGAGGCCTGGTCTAGGTGCCTGGTGATTTATGGCTCTGTGACTCACCCACCCTCTGGGACCTGAGATGGAGTCCATAGGAGTGACATTACGAAGGTCTGTCTTCTTTCTGAACCTCAGTTTCCTCACCGGTCACACGGTTGTCCCACTTCAGTGTTTGGCATCTGGGGGAGGGGTAGACAGTCATTGTTACAATTTAGTGAAAGATGAGGTTGGGCACAGAACCACAAAGGAGGTGGCTGGGAGGAGGGACTTTGGGGGCAGATGAAGAAGGGGAGACCAGAGAACAGGGCAGGGTACACACAGAGGGCTCTCAGGTCCTAGTCTCTGCTTCTGTTTCCACGTTCTGAGCAATGCCCCCTTCTTTGCCTTTTGGGGCTGGGTGTGCTGGGGTGGGGCAGTTCCTGGGCTGGCGTGGGGGAAAGAAGCACCATGGGACGGTGCCAGAGCAGAACTGTTTTGGTCTTTGGTGATATCTGTCCCAGGGAACGTGGGCGGGCTTTCCCACTGCAGGGAGAGCTTGGCAGTGCCTTCATTTTCTGTCACCTTTTGTCCATCACCCATTTGGCTATTTCCCTTTGGGGACCTAGCCCTCAGGGAGCTCAGTGTGAGAAGGCAACACAGCCTCTGCCTTTGGGCAGCCGCAGCTCCAGCACTTAGTGCCCAGCTGAGGGAGGAGACAGCCCCGGCTTTGGGGCTCCCCATTCTGATGGAAGCAGTACAGCTTCTGTCTTCAACCAATGCCTGGTCAGATGGGGGAGATGCATCCCCTTCCCTCAGGGAGCCTCCAGTCCTACAGGCACTGCGACACACCCCTGTTTCTTTCTCACATCCCGTGATCTCCAGTTCCGGGAGCTCAGGGTGGAGCTGCTGTTGAGCTGGGCTGAGGCCAGGTTTGTGTGTGAGGCTGTCTGCACTGGCGCATGGTTCCGGTGGTGACGGCCCAGGGTTGGGAGACGAGCAGAGCGGCATCAGGTACCAGGCAGAGCAGGGAGGGCGGAGGGCATTTCAGCAGCCAGGCAGCAGGCAGGCGGGCAGGCAGCATGGTTCCATGGACAAGTCTGGACCAGCCGGTGTGGGGACCAGCCGGTCAGGGGTGCGGTTAAAACAAAGAAAGGTTGCAGCTGGGGGAGGGGCAGGCTCTGCGTTTTGGGGTGCTCACAGATTGCTTCCAAATACCACCCCTCTTTTCCAGCTACTCTGAGGGAGGAGGTGACCCCTGAGGGGTGTGTTTATCCCTGTCCCTGTTCCCCTTTCAGGTCCAGCCTCAAAAGTATTAAATGTCAGCTCTAGGGCAGAGGGACCTTTTCAGGAAATGGAATTGGATTCTTGGTTTGGTTGCTCCCCCACACCCCACCCAACTCCCAGTGCACCATTTTTTTCCTGCATATACATTTCTGCTGTCAACATGGTGACTCACCCACCCTCAGGGCAGAAGGGCCACCCCTTGCCCCAGTGAAATGTGGGTTGAGGACGGGTAACCTGGTCCCTCCTTCCACCCCCAAGCCTGACATCTCCTATTCCGGAAACGGCTGTCAGGATTGGCCACGGGCTTAACAGGTTGGAATGCTGGTGGACATGGCCACATCTGGATCTCATCCCCGCCCCGCTATCAGAGGAGATTGGAGCTATGAAGAGAGAGCGCCCTGGACAGTGCTGTCTTCAGTCTCCCTATAACTTACCGCCTTGTCTCGGCCCTGCCCCACTGCTTTCGAGTCTCTATCATGGCCTGATTCAGACATCTCCCCTCACACACATGGATCTTCAGCCTTGGGCTGCCCCGCCAGCTTGCTCAGTCCCCTAGTAGAGAAGGGAAGACCCTCCGCAGTCCAGCACCCTTTCTGGGGCTGCCAGAGGACAGAGCTGTGTCCCTCTACTTCCCACCCACTCCATCCACCTCCTCCCAGGTCTGAGATGGAGGAGGGGTGAGATGGGGCTTCAGACTGCAGGCCCCTCCCCACTGCCAGCCAGATGGATTCCAGATTCACATCTGGGGGCCTTACCCTTCAGAAGGTGCTGAAAAGGGGGGCCTTTGAAGCGTCTTCATCCTAAGCTGAGGAGGCCCAGCAGAGAGGTGGGCAGCTTTGACTCCAACATGGGTGGGCAAACTGGGGGCTGGCCAGAAGTGAGCTGGCGAGCACCGTGCCCTTCTCTTTACCCTGTTGGCATGTCCTGTCTGCTTCCCCTCCCTGCCCCAGGTGTGGGAAGCGAGGATGGATGGAGTGGGCAGCTTTGCCTAAACAGGTACCCCCAGGCCATCTGGGCCCCACAACCCCTGGCACTGCCCCCAGCTGGGTGGCAGAATGGAAAATCCCGCCCACTGGCGCCAGGAGGTGCCGGGTCCCCTGCCAGGTAGGCTGGCAATGCCCAGCTGGCATGAGAAGACCTAGATGGGTGGCCAGGCACAGTCTCCATCCCCTTGAGGCAGCGGGCAGGACCTACTTTGTAGGTTCTCTCTCCACCTGCAGTCTGCTCCCTGCCCAGGAGGGTTCAGTCTGCCCAGCATGACCTTCTTTGGGTGGTGAGCAGATTTAGGGCCAGGCAAGCCAGGAAAACAGAGTTTGACCCCTGTCCAAGAACTGGCTGGAGGGAAGTAAGCCAGCTGGGAACTCCCCCTCCCCCACCCCATCCTACCCAAGCCTAGAGTCTGGAACATCAGAGATAGGAAGGGAGGGTGCCAGCTCTCGGAGAGGTGGGGCGGGAGCAGGTACCTCTTTGACCAGATATGAGTCTCCCCCATCCTTCTTTAAAAGGTGACTGGGGTCATATAGGGCAACGTGGGGCCAGAGAGGTTTTGACACTTCCCAGAATGAAGCCAGCCTGATGCTTTCCCGTGGCCCTCCCTCTCTTCTCTGTGTGTTCCCCTCCATGCCAGGCTTCTGGGTACCCAGGGAAGCAGAATAGAATTCTAGGGAGACAGCTATGCCCAAGGTAGAAGAGAGTTTACAGACCATCTCTCTTAATATTCCCATTCTATAGATGGGGAAATTGAGGCCCTGAGAGGAGAAGTCACACAGCAAATCAGTGACAGAGCTGAAGTGGACCCAGTTCCTCTGACTCCCAGGCCCTTACTCTTCTCCATCATGACATCATACGCACAATCCCCGCCCTCACCCCTGTCACATAACAGCTAGGCATACAAGCACTTGGAACCAGGGATAGGGGCTCAGAAGAAGCACTGGAGTGAATCATGCCATAGGCAGAGGGGCCTGTAGGGTGAAGTAGGACCTCACTCCTGTAGCTCTTTCTTCTAGAGATCCCTGGCCGTTGGATTACACGGGCCACACCCCCAGAGGGTTCAGACAGCCCAGCCCCCAGCACCCAGGAGCCCGAGGGACCTCCGGAGCTAGACGTCGTAGCCAGCACTGTGGCAGATGTGGTGACCACAGTGATGGGCAGCTCCCAGCCCGTGGTGACCAGAGGCACCGCCGACAACCTCATTCCCGTCTATTGCTCCATCCTGGCCGCTGTGGTTGTGGGTCTCGTGGCCTATATTGCCTTTAAGAGGTGAGAGGGGGCATGGGGGACAGAGAATGGGGACATTTGCCCTCAAGGAAAACTTTGCTCTGACCTTGACGTGAAAACACACGCACCCTTTTAACTCAACCCCAAACCAAGTTCATCCTCGCTAACTATCAGTTGCCCCACTCTAGGGCATGGCGGGTCAGCAGGAGGTGAGGGAAGGGGAGGATCCTGTCCCGGCTCTACCACCTCCCCATTCCCAGGCTGCTCCCCTCTCTGACCTCCCCAACTGCATGCAGACAGAGCTGCCTGTGCCCTCATCCCCTGGCACCCTATTCACCCACACAGTTACCTATGTGTACATGTCACATGGGATCCCATGACACCCACATCCAGGAACCCAGGACCTGCAAGAACACCTGGAGGGCATTTTAAAATTTTAAATGCACTTTTCATTCTTTAAAAAAATCATCAAAGTAATACATGCTTGTTGGGGAAAATGCAAACAAGACCAGTGTCAGTAAAGCAAAAAGTAAAAGTCCCCTTTATCTCTCCAAATCCTACCCCTCTCTTCACTGGAATCTGTTTAGAATGAATCCTTCCCAACTATTTTCTGGGCATTTATAAACACACACATATAAAATGTTTTATAGTTATACATAAACACAGGTTTTTTTGTTTTTTTTTAAAAAATCAGTGAAATCGTACTGTACATATTATATAATTTACTTTTTCACTTGCTCTCCCTTGGGAGAGCTTTTCTTGGGACATATAGATTATCTGATTATTTGTAACCACTCATTTAATAATATGGATGGATCATAATTTATGTAACCAGTCCCCGATTGCTGAACATTTGGTATGCTTTCAGCTTTTTGTTATTGCTTATAACAGCAGCGGAAATCCTTGTATATATCCCTGCACACATGTGGAAGCATTTTAGAAGGGTAGATTGTGAAAAGTAGAATTCCTAGGAAGTCATTTATTCATGCACCATTTATTCCATAAACATTTATTTGACGGCCTTTGGTGCGCACCAAGCCCTGAGTCACTTCTGCCCTCACAGAGCTGTGTGTGTAGGCTGGGATGAATATGTAAAGAAGGAAGAACTGTAGATACTATGGTTGGGGTCATAATTGGCACCTACCGTCCCCCTGACCCCCACCCATCAGAGCAAATAGCTTGGCCGCACTGGCCAGTGAGGCCCCTCACCCCTGAGACTGGCCTATCCTCTGGCCCCAGGTGGAACAGCTGCAAGCAGAACAAGCAAGGAGCCAACAGTCGGCCGGTGAACCAGACGCCCCCACCCGAGGGTGAAAAACTCCACAGCGACAGCGGCATCTCTGTGGACAGCCAGAGCCTACATGACCAGCAGCCCCACACGCAGACGGCCGCAGGCCAGGGTGAGGAGCAAGGGTGGACAGGGGAGCTGAGGCAGGGAGAATAGGAGTGACTAAGATTAGACTGTACGCAGGACTGCCAGAGGGGCTGGCTAATGGAGGCCATGGTGTGGAGGGATGGGAGAAGCCAGGTGAGGCTAATGGATAGGAGGGTCCTTCCGATGGGCTGAGTTGGGAAGTAGAGGCTTTTACAAGTTGGAGCATCGAGACTCATCAAGCTAATTGTCCCCCCTGGGGGCTAATTACCCCCAAAAGTGGCTGCAATTAGCCTCCTGCCCTGGGCTTCTGGGGAATAAGTAGTTAATTATGCACCCTAATCAGTGGCCCGTAGCCTGGCTCCAGGACACTTGCTGCAATTGAGTCTGGAACTAAAGAGCCCCGACTCCTTCTAGTCGGCCTTGATTAATTGCTAGGGTGAGATTGGGGGCGGGAGGGGCGGGTAGGCAGAGCTGGAGATATGAATGTATGAATGAGGAGGGGGACAATGGGTCAGCATCCCCTGGCCCCTCACAGCCCTGCCCCCAATCCCTCTGCCTCTAGACCCTCCCCAGATTGGGAGAAGAAATGCCTTGGGCCTTTTAGGGTCTTACCCCAGGCTCCCACCCCCACTATGGTTGGGGACCCAGTGGGGGCATGGCAGGGGGTAGGGTCTGACTCCCTCTGGGTTCCTAACAGCCCTCAAGGGTGATGGAGGCCTCTACAGCAGCCTGCCCCCAGCCAAGCGAGAGGAGGTGGAGAAGCTGCTCAACGGCTCTGCGGGGGATACCTGGAGGAACCTGGCGGGCGAGCTGGGCTACCAGCCCGAGCACATAGACTCCTTCACCCATGAGGCCTGCCCTGTCCGTGCCCTGCTTACCAGCTGGGCTGCCCAAGACAGCGCAACGCTCGACGCTCTCCTGGCTGCCCTGCGCCGCATCCAGCGAGCCGACATTGTTGAGAGCCTGTGCAGCGAGTCCACGGCCACATCCCCCGTGTGAGCCGACCAGAGCCCCTACCCTGTCCCCACATTCCGATGACTGATGCTGCAGCCATCCCCCCATGGAGCCCGCCCCAGGCAGGTGACCGCCAGAGCCGAGCACCACTTGGCACGGCCTGGAGCTCAGGCCCCCACAGCCCTGTTGCTGCTCCCCGTGAGGCCCCTTTGCTTCTGGCTGAACTCCCTCTCCAGCAAAAGAAGTGCCCTGCCGCCTCCCCCATGCCCACCCTGCCCCAACACCGCCTCAGGCCTTCTACTCCCTTCTCTCCACTTGCCTAGGTGGGCCAGCCTCCCCCCGTCCTAGCCGGTGTCGTATCTGGGGCTGACATACACCAGTAATGGTATTGCGCTGGTGACAGGGCCCTGGAGACTCAGGGAGAGGCCCAGAAGCCAGAGCCGTGGACTCTACACTGTGAACTTGGAGAGAGGGCCTAAACACTTCCTCAGCCTCCTCGTCCCTCCTCTTTGGCCTGAGCAGAAGAGGCTCCGAGGCCCCTCAGAGCTGGAGGCTTTTGAAATCTAGTCCACCCCCCTCATTTTATGTACAGGGCAGTGACATCCAGAGAAAGGCAGTGACTTTCCTAAAGTCACCCAGCAATGCAGAAGCTGAGGGTGGGCTGGCACCCTCCTCTCTGAAGGCTGCGGGAGAGGGCCAGGTGATCCTCTGGGAAATGTGTCTAAGCCCAGTGGACTCGGCCTAGATCATTAATCCATCATGATCTGATTAAGGTTTGGGGTTTGTGGAATGGGGTGCTGCTCCCCTCTAGGCATGTCAATATGGCACTGGGGTCAGAGAAAGGGTCAGTGTGGCCCCAGTCTGTTAGTGCCCTCAGCTCTGGACGAGACCCAAAACCAACAAGGGCAGCATCTTCCCCTAGAATCAACCCTGGGGGTCAGGGACTAAGGCCCCCCCCACCCCCACAGTTCCCTGCAAAACACACACACACACACACACACACACACACACACACACACACACACACACACACACACACACACACACACGGAGTGAGAAATCTTGCTTTCCTCCACCAGTTCCTTCTCTTGGGCTGCGACCGGATACTTCCCCGGGGCAGCGGCCAGAGAAGCAAGGGAGGGAATTGAGCTCTGTTCTCGGTCTTCCTGCACCCCCGGGTTTGGCAGGCCAAGGACTGCTGAGGCTGGAGCTGGCGTCTTCCAAGGACCTGCACATGAAGGAATGCCCCCCACCCCCACCCCCACCACTTCCCTGCGTGCATGGATTGACTGGGCTCAGAGGGCTCATCTGTGTTGCACTGAAGAAAAGCGGACCGGTGTGAGAACGCAGCAAGAAGGAACTGTGTCAGACTGGTCCATCAAGTTTAGAGGACCTTGCAAAGGACTGTTTCTCCCTAGCTTGGTGCCAGAAAGGGGCCGCGAGGTCTCAGTGGCTTTTCCACCCCTCCCTGGCTTGTTCTGTTTTGCTTGATGTTGGAATGAGTGTGGCTCCCCCTCTATTTAGCATGAAAAGAGCCTCGGGCAGGGTGTGGGCTGACAACCACCCCTCCCCTACCCAGGGTTCTCCCAACCCTGTATAAGGGACTAGGAGCATTGTACGTAGATGGCTTTTCTTTGACCTCAATCTGACGGGAGGAGGAAACTCACCTGCTGGCCCCTCACCTGTGGACCTGGGAGTGGGACAGAGTCTGAGTCTATTTATTTTCTTCCCCAGCCTTTGGCGAGGCTGGGGAGGGGGCCATGGCGGAGGGTGGCAGGTATGTTTTAGCATGTGTTTGGTTCTGGAGCCCCTTCTGTCTCCCTTTGGACTGCAGTGGAACCCTTTTGGCCCCCAGCTGGGGGCTGCAAGCTCCAGGCCCCTTGTCACCTCCCTGTCATGTCCCCTTGCATCCTGTGTAATCATTTCTCAGGCGCTCCTGAAACCTACACATAAAGCGTAAATGATGAACATTAAATAGCAAAGAAAGAAAAATCGTGCAAAGAGATTTTCTGGAAATACAAGTGGTTTGAGTGTATTTAGGGGTGTGGTGGGGCAGGGAAGGAGCCCTGGTGGCAGAGTGGTTAAGCGCTCGGCTGCTAACTGAAAGGTTGGTGGCTTGAACCCACCAGCTGTTGCACAGGAGAAAAGACCTGGCAATATGCTCCCGTAAAGATTACAGCCTAGGAAACCCTATGGGGCAGTTCTACTCTATCCTAAAGGGTCACTATGGTCAGAATCAGCTCAACAGCCATGGATTTTGGTTTGGTGGGGCAGGGACCCAGCTATAATTTCCAACTCAGTGAGTTTCTGTCTTATTTTTTCCCTACAAAAGGAGAAAGTTTTAACAGAAATCCAGAAAGTTCACATATATAGACATAGTGTTAATTTAAGTGGGATGGGAGAAGGAGTGGGGGCCCTTTGCCCCAAATCGGGGAGAGGGAAAGTGAAAATGGCCATGCAGGAAGCAGGCCAGTTGTGAACTTGACCAGATGTCAGAAGTGAAACTGACCACGGGGTGCCAGGGGCTTGCTAGGAGGGCCAGGTCACAACCTAGAGGCTCCCAGCCACCCACATGGCCTGCGATACATACGCGCACACACACACACACACACACACACACACACA